CAAAAGTGTTGCTGGTGTTGACGGCAAATAACCAAGATCGGCTTCGAAGGGAAACATTGAGATAGACTCTTGATGACGTGAATTATACGCGAATTCCGCAAGCGCTAGATAAGAATCTCAACCAGTTGATGCTTTGTTCATAAAAGCTCGTAAATAATTCTCAAGTGTTTGATTAAGTCTCTCAGTCACATCATTTGCTTGGTGCCGAAAAGTGGATGTCATTTTGGGCGTGTTCTCAACATCTCACATAATGTTTTCCACACGGTAGCAGTAAATTTTGGGTCCCGATCAGAAAGTATCTCTGATGGAACCCCATGCAAAACGAAGATGTGGTCTCGATACAGCTCAGCTACATCCTGAGCAGTTGCCGTACCACAACATGCCACGAAATGTGCACGCTTAGTAAGCTGGTCGACAACTACAAGCACTGAATCAAACTTCGTCTCCGTCATCGGCAATGCTACGATGAAGTCCATTGCAACATGAGACCATCTTGCCTTTGGTATCGGCTGTGATTGTAGCAAACCAGGCGGTTTTGTATTGCTGCCTTGGTACGCTGACAAGTTTTCCAAGTCTTCACGTATGCCCTCACAGTACGCATCATATGCCTCCAGTAATAATGTTGCTCCACCAATCTGAGCGTTCGCTCAATGCCTGGATGACCATAACACTCGACGTCATGAAATTCGTACAAAATGCTGTTCAATATTTCGTCAATAGCGGGTAAAACTAGTCTCGGAGCTTCATCATTGGGTCCGGAGTAAAATAATTTGCTTCCGACGAGATTGTAGCGTGCTAAATGTTTAATTGGTTGCGTGGCAACAACCTTTGTACTCTGCAATGTTGAAAAACTCGGATTGACATGTCTTCATTATAGCGTGAAATTGATTCTTCAACGACTGTCCGAATTCCCTGAGCTATACAATCTTTAATGACACTTGCTGACACGATCTCCTCCAATGGATATGCATCTTGAAAGTCTGGACGGCGAGAGATTCCATCGGCCACTGAATTCGCTTCTCCTGGAATGTACTTGAACGAGATAGGATATTCGCTCAATTCGTCATACCAACGTGCGATTCTGCGCGAGATACTCTTTTGAGAGAATATGCTTTCCAGGGACTTATGATCTGTCTCAACTACAAATGGTTTGTCGAGCAAGTAGACGCGCCAAATCCGTAACCCGAATAGAATTGCTAACAATTCTTTTTCGCGGATACTGTAGTTCTTCTCAGCATCTTTATACTTCCTACCACCGAAGGCAATTGGTCTCTCAATTTGGTTATCACCTTCGCCTTCCAGCTGGAACAGTACTCCCCCTACAGCATAGTCGCTGGCATCCATATGCATATGGAATGGACGATCGAAATTTATTACAAGCGTTGGTGTGGAGCTTATTTTCTTTTTCAGTGACTCAAAATGTCCACACAATGTTGAACTCCATGAAATTTTCTTTTTGGGTTGTCCTTTTAGAAGATCGAAGAGAGGTGCTGCATCGGTTGGGAATCCGTCACAAAATCTCTGGACATAAACCGCTGTGCCAAGGAACGACTGTAGTTCGCTCCTCGTTCGATCGAGGCAATGGCCAGTTTTGTATGATTTCCACTTTCTTTGGATCAA